GTAAGGTAATTAAATATAAAGTAAATTCAAGTTTTATTTAAAACAACGTTAATTAGTTAAAAGTAACAAAATATATTCTCAATTAATTTTAACCATATTTTATGAAGTAAATTATAGGAACACTTCAATTCTAGTTTAGTATAAAATGAAGCGTAAACATTAATCATAGTGGACCTTAATAAAAAGAAATTATTTTTCTATATTACTATACCATGTTATTTTCTAAACCATAATTTAGCTATGACTTAAATTATCAAATGTGTCAATTAATGAATAACTATTGCACCTCATATATCATATAAGCAAATATTATCAATTCGAAGAGTTTATTATAAATGTGTTGAGATTCTTTATACCGATAAACCTATTTGCATCGTTATAGCAAAAAGTATTATGTTTATCATCAGTCCATCCGATCTAGCACTATTTGGTCCTATTCAGTCCTAGACCGCAGTCCGGTCCGATTTTTTAAAAGATTGGGCAGTCTTTTAACCAGGATGGACCGGGCGGACCGATTAACAGCCCTAATTAGTATAGTGTTGTAGCGTAATTGTGTAGTACAGAGCATTTTTACACTTTTACAACGTACGTACGTACGTATCGGTCTGTACCAAACCATGCCAAAAGCCGTGCCACTTGGACTAATAAAGTGTTACAAAATCCGAGTCATTAACGGTCCAACACATGCCAACTCAAACCTCTTACGTACCAATCCGGTTTTTATCCGTGCCACTGACACCCGTGCCATTACGACCTTTTTTTTTACAGGGTAATAAATTATATATGATTAGTACTGAAAAGGAATTAAAAAATAAATGCAAAATTTTGGCGAGCCTTTTAAATTTTATGCTTTTTATTAATAGTTAGCCAGTTATGAATGTTATCAAATATAGGTAATAATGAAATATACAAAAAAAGTTTGAGCATTCCAAATAAACCTAATACGATCGACTCTGAATATAATAACCTTTTTACTATATAACAAACCAATAAAGTTTGATATAAAAATATAGAAACTTTACACCATAAAGAACCTTTACTATAAGAACCGTCAGTTCGTTATAATAGAATTGATTTTATATGTCAGTTAATTCTATCAGAAAATGTACTTTTCAATGTTTAGGCTTAGGCACTATGCCAATTTTATCCCATTTTAGACAATCTCGATCAGTTTCATTCAATTCTCTGATCGTACCATCTGTACCAACTCTCATTGCAATAAATGAGGGAGAAACAGAGATAGAAGGGGATACTACATCTTCTTTAATAAGATCGATCATGGAAATATTATTGTCATCAGTAGAAGTAACACGTTTTATAAAATCTTGACAACGTTCAATTGCTACTTGTGTAGGCTTAGGAAAAGTGTACAGCTGTATAATTTGATCATATGCATAAATTAATAATAAATTTTTAAAAGTATTTACGACAAAAATAAAATTTAAAGTATACTTACATGCCAAGCATGAGGCATATCATCATAGACTTCAAGTATAACTTTAGTAGGTTTCTTAAAATGTGATTTTTCAAAGTTTTTAGTTGCATATGAAGGCAATAGATATTCATGAGGACTCGCTGCTTTATGAGAAATTAGAATAGCTTCATCAAGAAATCTTTCACCACCTCCAACTTGCTAAAATTCATTTTTCCATAATTAATTATATTATTAAAGTTATAAACTAATGAAATAATATTATGAAGTAACTTACACATAGGATAGGCGGTAAATTCCCTAAAGACTCAGCAAGCATAGGACTAGAAATCAAAATTTTATAAATACTAAGATTTAATTACGTAGAATTATTAAATTTTTTAGGCGAAATAGGAGCACTTACCTAACATAAGGAATTGCCAACGCTTCATTAGGACAATAAAGATTAAAACGAGGTATTTCAGTAAAAGAAGGATGACTAACAATTTTAGGGTTTTTTAGAACCATTTTATCAGCTAGAGCTTTTGCATTGACAAGAAATTCTTCCATGACAGGAGATGAAGGAAGGTTTGCAAAATAGTCTAGTGCTGCAGGTATATAATCTACTTTATCTAATTCGGAATCCCATTTGGATGGCATACTTTGAGTTAATTCAACCTATTTTAAAAGAAATAATATCATTAATTTACTGTAAATTTTAAATTGAATTTCAAACATACATACATACCCATGGTGACTTTAATTATTATTTGAACAAATAAATAGTTGTAAATATGAAATATAGGACGAAATAAAAATCAATTATTTATTTATAATTTATTCATTTATAATTTCATCATTTATTTAATGCTCACCAATGCGATTGCGCCCGCTGGTAAAGGTAATCCGGCATCTCTTAAACATAAGAGTGTGGCAAAAACCAAATTGCCACCCGCACTCTCGCCAGCCAATACAATTCTTTTAGGGTTAATCGGTTCAAATCCAGCATTTGGACCAGGGTTTGTAAGATATAGATACGCAGCGATGGAATCACAAATTGCAGCGGGAAATTGGTTTTGTGGCGAAAGACGATAATCAAGTGCTGTGCCAATAATTTTTTTATCATAAAAAATATCATAAAAAATTATTGTAAGAAATTATCATAAAAAATTATTTGTAAGAAATTATTGTAAGAAATTATTGTAAGAAATTATTGCAAGAAATTATTGTAAGAAATTATTGTAAGAAATTATTGTAAGAAATTATTGTAGTAAGACATTAAAAAGTAGATAATCTAAAAAACTTACAAAAAACTCGAGAATTAGCAAGCTCAACAAAATTTTGTGTAATAATCCTAGCATGTTTAGTTGAGCCGATACAAAATCCACCACCATGCAAATATAAAACCACATGATCAGTTTTATCAGTTTTTTCGTTAATACATAACCATTCCCCAT